AAAAATCATTATAGCTATATTCACTGAATTTGCAGTATGAACGTTCAATAAAACTTAACTCTAGCATATTTTGCATTACTTTCTTCAGTGTATCTCTAACTCTTTCTAGAATAGATGTTTCTGCTTTATTATGTTTTCATCTCTGGTAGCATTTTTGTGTTCTCCTAATATAGCAGTACCTGGGTTGATTATAAATATTACTCAACATGACTTATTCTAAGAGTGGTTCTAAAGTCTGCTTTTTGTTGCAAAGATAAGATATGTGTCTCTTCATACTTTCTGTTCATCTGGTAAATAGCTATATATTTGTTTTGCTAGATCTTTGAATCTATATATTCCTAATGAAGCAATCTACTTTCTTAAAATTTTATAAGCTAGATGGTTTTTCCATTTCCAAGTCTATTTTGTGATTTATGGATTCCATTTTTTGATCATCATAAATGAGCTTTGCCACCTAGCTTAAGCTTGCATTCTTGACTAGGCAACAAAAATAACACTTTTCCTTCCCCCTCTTGAGAGCCTTATATGATATCAGTCTCATTGTGCAGGTGTTCCTAAAATAATGCCACTGAGTTTTCTGGCCTTTTTTTTTCTTTGTGTGACACATAATCATAATCTTTGATCCTGGAAGTTTGATCCAGGACTGCTCTTAGTTTTTCCCATGTAGCAAGTCAAAAGGACTGAATCCCCTAAATGCCTACGGCACTTCGCTATAGGCAAATAATATATAAGGAAATAAAGCCAATTTGGTGTAGTGGTGATGACATTAGGCTTGAAACCAGGAAACTTGTTTTGTTCTCTGTTACAAAAATACCTGAGTTATCTTGGGCCAGTCACTTTCTGTCTAGAAAGGAGAAAGTGGAAAGCCACTTATGAAAAACTTGCCAAGAAAATTTGTCCAGGCAGTCTCTGAGAATCAGACATGACTGAACAGAAGGGAAAAAAATATACAAGGAAGCAGTCCATTCCAAAATGTTGGTATCATTTCATGCATCCTTCTTTAACATGTTTTCAAGAGCCTTCTGCAGATAATCCTTCTGTCTGAATGTCATACTGAGAATGTCTTACTTCCAATATCTCCGAATCTGTATACAAATTCTTAGCAGTTATTTTCTTGAAATACCAACAAAATGATTAATCTGGTCTTACATCAGGCCTGAACAGTCTTTGAAGCACAAAGTCTGAAGTGGTACAGTATTGCAAAGTAAGCAGGGCTGTATCATGGTCAGAGGGAAGTTTTTCTGTGTTGTCTTCTTTAAAAAGGGAGATGATCAGGTTCCTATTTTGTAAACAGTATTAAGTATAGGATAATTAATTTTTAAAAAGATGAGTTTTATTTTCTTTATTCAGTTGGGCTATTCAAAACAAAGTCCTTTGCTCATTCCTATGTGTGTGCCTTTCACCGTAGGCCCCTGTAGGTAGGTGTGAGAGTTCTAATTAAAAGAGAGAGGGAGAAAGACAAGGCAGGACCTGACAAAATAGATGCTCATCTAACATCTTAATATAGTCCCTTCATGGGAATAGTGTGTGGTATTCATAATAATACCTAGACTCCAGGACTGAATCCTTATGTAATTGCTTTGACCCTGGACTGTCAATCTGGGCAGAAAGATATGGATCGACAATGTTGACAAATCTTTAAATATCTGAAACCATTAAAACTGGGATTTACATGGTTTTGATGCCTTGTGCCAGATGTTTTTCACTAGAAGTAATGAGAATGGGGTACATGGAAAGAATACCTCTCCTTCCTGTTTAAGGCAATTCCAAATGTCACCTTTAATTCTGTTCACTGATAATTTTTCAGAATTACCACATACATAAATTATGCTTCCTTTAATAATGAGTGGGTTAGCATTTTTAACTGTTACTTCTTCCTGTAACTAAGGAGTGTTGCTTTAATTGCTCCAGAAGGAGTAACAAAGTGAGAGCATATATTCCACCTAACAAAAATTACGGTCAAGTTCAAATTGAGGTGAAAGATGACTCGGGGGGCTTAATGCTTGAAAACTGGAAGGATTTGAGGCCAGAGTTGGCTTGCAGCAGGATTTTACAATTGGAACATACATCTCTTCTCTGTTTGAGAACACATTTACAAAGCAGTTATTATTGGTTATTAATATTTCATGAAAGTCTGTGATGTAATTGGAAGACTGCATATCATTTTTTAAATCAGTTTTTACATTTTATTATACCATCAAGCTACCTTGATCAGAATCTTTGAGAAAGAGAGGATAAACTTGATTTTCAGTAAATAAACCTCTATTATCTCTGTCTGTCGTCTTTCTTTCTTTCTTTCTTTCCTTCTTTCTTTCTTTCTTTCTTTCAAAAGTTATTTTAAACCTATATAAATGATGTGTTAATTAACCTAAGGAGATACATTGGAGATTCTTAAATTTTTTGATATTTGATCCTTGCCCAGTTCAAAAAGTTACCGAAAGGACCAAAATGCAAAGAAGGGCAGGAATCAAAATGTGTGGTTCAACTATTAGAGCTCACTTATTTGTAACAAACTCCAGTGAGAAAGGGAAAAGTCAGTATTGATCCAAAACAATGGAGGGACTGTAGAGGAACAAAAAGAAAGGCTGCTTGTTAGCAGAGTCAGCCTCTGCTGTCTATGTTGCCTTTTGTATTGCAGAGCAGGATTAGCACTGGTGGAGCATGGACTGCCATGCAGTCAGTTAAAAAGTGGTCTCTCTTCTACTAATTGCTTTTTAAAGTAAATATATCAACTTCCTGGGGTAAACAAAGGATACTATTTAATGACCCTTTTCTCCTCATCCTACATAAGAATTTCAGCTGGAAAAAAATTGTACTTCTTTCTTAGCTGTTCCTCTCTCTTTCCTACTTTCATCCGGCCTTTTATAGTCTTGTGCTAATAGGGTGTATCACTTCATGCAGTGGAAGTTAAAATCGTTGGAGCTCTGTTGTATGGACTACAATGGAAATTTGCACTATGCAAAATGACCAAAGTTGATGTCCTTAGCTACACCAGTCCAATAGGCAAACTCTCCAATCCGATTGGCCTGGTTAAATGGCAGGGCCTGTAATAGAATTTTTAGATAAATAATCTTGAACCCAAGTAGAGTTTCCCACGTTCTGGAGCTCTGCTAAAGCTGAAACCTTAATTTTGTCATTCAAACAAATATAAGAAAAACTCCTAAGAATTTTGGACATAATGCATTGAGGAACAATAAGAAATAAGCTGAAAGGACTGAAATTTACGTTATGTTATACTTTAAAAAAGAATTTTATAAAATGGTACAGGCTCTCGACAAATTATTTAGAATGTATAAAAAGTGTTTTATGTTGGAAATGAGGAAAATGTGAAAGATCAGTTTATCATGGTTGGTGGGGTTCAAATATACAGAGTTAAAAATAAAGAATTTTAAAGATTCATATTCATTTGAAAGCACGATTTTTCTTATTAGAAGTAATGGCTAAACAATTAGAAAAGCATTATGGAAAGCTGTTTTTATATATGATAACTGCTGGAAGATTATTTCATGCACAAAAATGGAAAGAATCTGAAATACCCACAATGGAGGAACAGCTGGTGAAGATGACGCAATTAGCAAAGATGCAAAGTTGACTTGCCTGACTAGAGAAAGGACAAAACCCACATTTATTAATGACTAGAAGCCTCTTATGGATTTTTTGCTAGAAAATGAAAAAAAAGGAGCTTGTGATTTATGGGTTGATGATTTAAAAAGATAGATTTATAGACAGAAGATTGCTATAACTTTAGAAAGAGAGGGTAAAATATAAATGTACTTCTAATTGTTTTCACTATCAAAAGTTGTTTCTTTATAAGTTTTATTTTTTTTCCTTCTCTATTTCTTCACACTTTTTCACTTATTATTGTTTTTTCTTTCAAAATTGGTATTGTTCTTATTCATTTAAAATGTTCTTTAATAAAATTTATTTGTTAATAAGAAGAAAGAAAAACTCCCAGAAAACCTTGACCAACAGAATTAGGAGGAAGTAGAGGAGGCCCTGGTTTAGCCATCAGAATCACATGAGAGTTTTAAAATGTTCAATACCTTTGCTGATCCTTTTGAGTTCTATAGGTGACTCTTGTGACCATTATTCCAGCAATCATTCAAAGTTACAATGGTGCTGAATGAACTTTGGTTACGACTGGTCCTTGAGAATTCAAGCCATCCCATAACCCCCATGATCACATGATCATGATCTGGTACTTGGCCGCACTTAAGACCAGTTGCAGTACCCATGATCAAATTCGCTGGGGTAAGTCTTCCCCACCCACATACACTCCTTTAGCCCCTCTCTGCTCATGCTGCACCAACTAATCATGCCCCCTCCTAAACCGCACCGTGCCTCCCTTGCGCACCTTCCCTGATCCTTGCTGCACCTCTTTCATACCTTTACTTTTCCTCACCACATCTTCCTTGCTCCCTTATTCACCTCCTTGTATCCTTATTGCGCCCTCATGAATGCTCCTTAGCCCTTGCTATCCCTCCCTTGCACTCATACACACTCTCCTTGTGTTGTGCCATGCCTTCTTTCCACCCTCTCCGAGCCTTGCCACACCTTCTTGTACCCCCTTGTGCCTTCCCCCACCCTGCAGCAGCCATTTAATCTGCTTGCCAGCCTGCTTGTGAGTTACCTGGGACTTATAACTTCCTACCAGGTTCCCCATTGATTTGATTGTGGAAACTGACAGGAAGTTGCCTTGCCTAACAATGATGGGATCTTATTAAGGATGACAGTCGGGACTGCAGGGATTGCTGTTGCTAAGTGATGCAGTCCCACTTTACGTCTGCATAACTTAGTAATGGATATTCGGGTCCCAGTTGCCATCATAAATTAGGGACTGCCTGTACAGTAGGCTTGTAGAATAGTTATAGGTGTTTTTCTGTTTGAATTTTAAGTTTACATTGAAGGCATTGATTGACTAATGTTCGGGTGTTTCCAAGTGGAATTTTTTAAAAAACCGAAAGAGTAAGGTGCTTCATAAGTGAGTCTTGCCTTTGCAGGTAATGAAGACCTACCATATGTACAATGCTGACAGCATCAGTGCCCAAAGCAAGCTGAAAGAGGCAGAGAAGCAAGAAGAAAAACAGATTGGTAAGTCTGTGAAGCAGGAGGAAAAGCAAACTCCACGCTCCCCTGATTCAGCCTCCAGCGTCAAGTTTGAAGAAAAGCATGTCCGACGGAGCTCAGTCAAGAAGATTGAGAAAATGAAAGAGAAGGTGAGTGCACAACAGGGTTAACTGCTGGGTAATTGCAAACCTCTCTTTACCAAGAGCAGCTGCTGAGTGTTTGCTGTGAATCTAATACACAATAGAATATCTATCAGGGCGTTACGGGGAAGAGCTATTTAATGGGGAAATAGCAGAAATACTGACCTAATGGCTCAGGGATTATTCTGAGATCTAGAAACTATATTTAGATATGTGTATTCATGAGACGGAATGAGGAGGTACAGGAACCAAAATGCGTAAGAAGGTTGTTTTGCCATTCATCCGTTTCTTCTTATCCCATGTCAACTATGTAAATATATTCTAACTGAAACTCTGTTTAGTATGGTACATAAAGATACTACGTATCAAGCAGTTAGCAGTTTGATATTTAAATGTTTTAACTTGCAGAAGTAATATAATATAGGGCCATAGGCAGAGATGATGTATTTAAAAAATTCGGGGGGAGGGGGAAGCTTAATATTTGCAGTAGACTACCTTGGATACGTTGCTTTAAGAAGTAATATTTTTAATTGGAAAAGTTAATTGTATTGAGATACAGAAACACAAGCATGCTTTTCTTAGGATCACGCATGAAGCAAGTAAAGTAAATATGCGTAATCAATGGATTTTCCCCCCTCTCTTGTTCTTCAATACAGTATACAAATAATCATCAAGTTACGACCATTCATTCAGTGACTGACATTCATTGGCTTTCAGAGTTAAAACAGTACTGAACAAAGGGACTTACAACTGGCCCTCCAAATTCTGGCCTTTGTAGCACCCCCACAGTTACATGAACAAAATTCAAGCACTTGAAAACCAGCCCTGCACTTATGACCAATTCCAGTGTTCCGTAGTCACTTGATTGCCATTTGTGACCTTCCCTGCTGACTTATCAAGACCAGAGTCAATGGAGAAGCCTGCAGGGAAGATCACAAGTTGTTGGGTAAATCTCCTGCACCCCTGCCTTTCTTTGCTTGCATGCACTGTGGTCTCTTCCCTCTCTTCCGTTTCATGCACACATCACACCTTTGCTCATTCGCCCACACTATACCTCCTTCCTCTCTGCACACCCACAAGCATCCTCCTTCCCCACTTGCTAACACACACACACATACACGCACCAAAGGCATCTTCCTTTCCCAGTCCTCCCTCCTCTTGCAAGCAATGTCCCCATCAGCACTCACCTTCCCCGGGCTTCCCTACATTTTCAGCCCCCAGCATTTCCTTCCCTGAGTCTCTCTATTCTCACATTGTACTCTATGTCCTACTTTCCCAGCCTCCCTTCACTTGTACCACATTGCAGCACCCCCTTCTCCAACTTGCATGCAGCTTGTACAGGGTCTTCCATGATCTTCCCCATCTCTGTGTGGCACTGTCACTCTCATTACCTGTGGCTAATGTGGTTAATTCCTGCTTAATGACCCACACATTTTGGGATTATGACAGCATCTGGGACTGCCTGAATCATCATCACTAAATGATATGGTCATGTGACACGTTATGACATCATTGCTTAACAATAGCAGTCCTGGTCCCAATGACTTGGAAACTACATGTAATTTGCCCTTATAGGAAGATTTATTCGAGGTGACTTCAAAGGTTATTGTACCCACTGGCTATTTGCTATGCAGTGAGTGTGAATGGGATTCCTGGTTCCACAGTCTCAGCTGTGGAATTTCCTTTTGCTTCAGATGCTGTTGACCGCTACCATCATAAACCTTTGGTGACAGTTTAAGACCTCTTCACCAAACATTTGTGTAAACAGATGCTGCTGTGCCTTCCCATCTGATTCAGGATAAATAAATAATTAGAGCCATTAACAACTTTATTCTAATTATTCCAATTTATTGTAAAATATTTTTTAATCATTGCCCTCGTTGGATATTTTTCAAATAATAAAAGCAATCAATAAATATTGAATTAGCTTTAACTTTATGATGAAGGTTTAAATTATTTATGTTCCATATATGCAATATTCACGTATTGATTGGGCTAGGTCAGGAAGTGCTGTTTCCTATTCTTATGGGCAGAGGAATGTAAATATATGTGCAGGCCTAAGCTTCCAGCTGCTTAGTGCATTTGGTATATTAAGTTCTAGTGATACATGATCAGTCCCTGTAATTTGGATGATTTGGGTATCAGATCTTTGTTCACACTTGGCTCTTTAATACCTCCTGCTGATGTCAGTCCTTTGTGTCCATATTAGCGCCAAATACAATTCTGCAGGGATCTTCAGGATGCAAACCTGCTTCTAGGATTGGATATATTAACTTTATGTGTTCCTATGAGCCACTTTTTGGCCATCTATTAGATTACCCTCCTGTCTCTTCATGATTCAACATTTGAGTTATTGTTATATGATGCATTTGTTTTTCCTAAAAGTGTTAAGATTTCTTAGTCTGGGTTAAAAAGAAAGTAAAATATTTCTTGATTTTGCAGAATTTTCCCCCTGCATTCAAGGCTATTACTTTCCTCATTTTAATTATTTTGTAATAAAAATCCACTTGTATATTTTTCAGCGCCAAGCAAAATACACAGAAAATAAACTGAAGGCTATTAAGGCAAGGAATGAATATCTGCTGGCTCTGGAAGCCACCAATGCATCTGTATTCAAGTATTATATCCATGACCTGTCAGACCTCATTGATGTAAGTGTACTTTGGTGGTGTATTTCCTGAATGTTTCTGCTTCAAGCCTCATTATGTTGTTCTCCTCAGTTAATTTCTTCAATGGCAGAAGTCCATATGGAGATTTTATCTTTTATCTGTGTTCCATCTGTGTTTCATTCAATTATTGAAGAACAACAGCATTTAAACACAGTACTAATTAAATAACCAAACCAAATTCTGTAATTGTCAGGTTCTTCCCTTATTTTATCATTTTTTGAGTTTGCATACTCCCCAACCTTTATAGAAAGCTTTAGGAACGATCTTAACTTACATCCATCAATGGAACGTACTATAAAATAGCCATGTCTGTATCTCATAGTTTTTTATGAAAACCTTATGTTTTTTTCTTATTTTGTGTATTGACTTACTGGTTGAATGGTTTCCAGGAATTACAACAGAATGCTTAAAATGGTTTGAAATTCATCTTAAATGCCTGAAAGATTCAAACAACCTTATTTATCCAAATGATCTTGGAACCAACTCAATTTGTTGAGAGGAATGGTGAATTTTCTTAAGGTTATATAGGAATTCATGAAGTTTACACAAAGAATATATCAACATTTCTCCTCATTCAGTGGATCTACAGCTGGTCTTTCCTCTAGGATACACATGCTGGCATGTTTAACATGCCTTACATGGTTTATCACCACAGCAGTCAACCCTATGAGATTGAGCTGAGAAATAGAAAATAGTCATAAGTGTAACTGGTCTTTTCAGTCCCAATGCAACACATTTAAGGAAGATATGTGAAATAAATGTTCAAACAAGCAAATCATTAGCCTCTTTCAGTACAGTGCCCATAGAAGGCTAGTAATTTAAGGAATATTGTAAAATGCAAAAAGTAAGGAGGAGTGCTGAGAAATGAGCTGGAAAACTTAGATGAGTTAATTTTCTTCTTCTGATTTCCAATGGGATTATAAATTATAATTTCAAATTCAGATTCTATGAATGGAAATAGAAAAATAGAGTCATCTATTCTGTTCCTATCTATTCCCACACAGATTACTTAATCTGGTTTTATAGAGAGGAATGCAATGGTGGGAAGTTATTCTATGAAACCAAAACCTGCACCTGAGAAAACTTTATTCATAAGGCTCCAACTCCGATAGAGTAAACCATATATTAGCATTAATATTAGTCTTTTTGAAATTTCTGGTGCCTTCCTTCATTGGCAAGATTCCCACGATTTCTCTTCCATGATCTGTGAAAAACACGGAATGTTAATTTGGTTGCAAAGCTGAAACTGCTGAATATTTATGAATGAAAATAGCCTCGACATGTGCAGATTCTCAATCAACCATTTTTTGTTTTTTTAAACCCCTATTTAGTTTTTATGCTTCTTGACTAAATTTATTGTTTATTGCCAAAATTTATTGCCTGCTTCCAGTAAAACCAACAATTGCTGCTTTACAAGCAGACTCTCAACACCTGCTCCAGACTTTTGGCACTGTCCCCAAACGTGTGACAGTGAACAGGTTATGGGAAGACTTAGTTTAACCATTTATGCTTCTCTCCTGTCTTTCTGATTCCTTTCTCTGGCACATGTTCATTTCATTCATGGCATTTCCGTTCCACCATTTATGTGCAATTCTTGTCTAGTATGGGCAGATGTAAACTTGTGACTTCTATCAAACAAATAGATGCTTATCCATTCATAAGTTTTCCTTCCTTCCTTCCTTCCTTCCTTCCTTCCTTCCTTCCTTCCTTCCTTCCTTCCTTCCTTCCTT